AAATAAGTAGTCCGGTTGCCCAGCCCATAGACTTTGGGACACTTCGGACGGTTGTCGGCCCGGCCAGACACAGACCGGATGCTGTCGTAGGACCTCGGCAGTGCAGGAAGAGCGTGCTCTTTCAAGTTGTCCTGACACAACCCAGCAAGGCTGCATGTGCCGACCACTCTTTGCATAGAGCCGGTTGGTGGTTGGTGATTGCTGGCTCTAAACACGCAAAGGCAGACCACCTCGTGAGGACAACTGACACGGACTGGCATGTCAACTTGCCGGGACACGCGACCAAAGAGAGAAGATCAGACAGATGAAACAATAACACGGCTTTTGAAGATCAAGAAATTACAGAGTAAACTTAATTGTGCATTTGTGGGTGTGTGCATCTTGTTGAGTGAGGAAACATGCAACTAGAGATGGCCGCTTTACCCATTTCTGGACCGACAGGCGAGGAGCCAGACGAAATGAGGCCTTATCGCCGTGGACATGTACGAGGTGACCAAGCACATAAGGCGTTCTTCACTTGTTTGACTGCCTCTCGGCGTCCCCTCAGTCCTGTCGGTCTCCTGGTGGTCGGAACAGCGTGGCTGCTTCGAGGAATCCTGGTTGGCCGGACAATGAACATCATGACGGTAGGTTGGTAGCACGCGCATCTTTATCCATTCTTTATTTTGGCCCTGCAGATTCCAAATCACCTGGGCAAATTATCCTTAGAATTATGTTTTCATTCATTTTACTGCCTTCCTCTCACAACATTGGTCCAGTTTAACGCGTAGCCATAAGCCGGATGGGATTTTAAAGTGACGCCATTATTATTTATGATAATCAAATAATAAACCCAAATGTATACAGTACTTGTTTGACCTTGTTTTTGCAACTTGGTCATATTGCTACAACATCTTGGTCTTCGTATGCAAATTTATACACTTGCGTATAGGCCTAGTTGTCATATTGAGATGGTGGGTTTGGGATATACGCCCATTCAACGCTAGATCCAGTGTTTAATGGTTACTTCTAGCCCGTGCTTCCATGGCAGCCCTGGCTAAGTTGCTGAATCACTTTGGTCTACGACTAGCAGCGCACGACCCAGACTTGGGTCACGTTGGGGCTGCTGACGATACCCTATGGAAGTCGAGACTACAGCCAACCCTCAATGAGAAAGCCGTTTGGGAAACAAGGCTAAACGATATTAAATGGAATTTTAAAGCCTTCTATGCACTCCATTTTGAGAAGCTCAACTTTCAGGCCTTTCATTTCCATTGGTGACCTAAAGCGAAGTTAATTTTTGTGGAATCCACACTTCTGGGACCTTCATCAACATGACGAACACCTGCTGGCCTATTTGTAGATGTGCAGGTCCTAGCCAAAACCACGACGCAAGGTTCGCACGCAAAGGCCTGATTGAAGACTCTTCGTACAATGACTATTATTCTCGCAAGCTGACCTCATTCGTGCACGTGTTGTCCTTCAAGTTGTGCAAATTCGGGCTAATGGCAACACTGAAGACACAGTTGGATTGTTTCTAGTGGACTTACTTTAAAGGAGCACGACTGGAGAAGGATTGCGTACAAAGAAAGCGGAAAGAACCTAGTATAGATTAGCAACCTTCCAACTCAATCTTCCTCTTTTTCAGCTTGCTTTTAGTTTGCCGCCGACAAAAACAACGATGGAATTATATGAGATCTATTCGCTATACTTCGTTTAAGGTGATGAAGGATTGGTAGTAGAATTTCCTCACAATGATATGAGTAGAGCTGACGTTTCTATTGAACTTCACGGAGCCTTGCCTTCCCAAAAGTTGTTCTCATCCAAGAACCAGTGGACTGCAGTTTCAACCTCGCATCGGTCTTATCAACACCCCCAGCGGGCGTCGAACCGTGACAGTGAAAATGGGAGTTTGACACGTTAACCCCTCGGCCACATTGCCACGAGTGCTTTTTGGGTCACAGGGTAGATATGAATTTTAAGGATGGCCAGGCCTTTTTCCATACCACATTTTTTGGTGGTTTTGACGCTGAAGCAAACGTATTTTTGCTATAACAATAGATTACATTACATATTTTTCGTATACGAGCAGAATATCGAGACTACGAGTAAATCAGCTATATGAGATGTATCTCTCGGGGAATACATCTCGTATAATTGATTTACTGGTAGTCTCAAAAATCT